GTGCCCGGTCGGCCGAGTTGCGTTCGGCTGCTCTCTCCACTCCTACAGGGAAGAGCCCTCCGCGAGCGAGCGGAGTGGGTGCAGTCCCTTCGCTCTACCCTTGGGGTCCAAGTAGGTATAAAGTTCGGTGTCGTCCCCCACCCACCACGTGCCCCCGGCGCTCCGTCTCCGCCCGCGATGCCTGCTGTTTTTTAAGAGAAAACCAGTCCCGGTCTGTCCCTGCGGCGGCTGGGGAGTAAAATGGGATTTAACAGCCTATCATCTATCCCCCTCCCTGCAAAGTATGTTTTGGAGGCGATTTTGTCCGAGGTGGGATGTTGGGGTGGCTCAGCTACAGTTGGAAGTTGGAGTGCATAACGTGGTCACCTCTTGAGACCTCTCCCTTGTCCCTATGCTTTTTGAAAATGCGAAGCCATTCCAACTGTTTGTAACTGTGAAACGCTCCACAATGCTAAAAATGTGTTGGCATTTGAAAGAAAATAATCGAGTTGAGAGGTTAGTTGATTATTGCAATGGCTCCGAGGTCTTCATTTTGTATTTATTTAAGGTCCATAACGCGAACAAAGAGAGTTGGGGGGAGGGTGCGGTGGAGAGAGAGCGAGAACAAGGTAAAAATAGCATAAGGAGATGTCCTATCAAAATGTCTGTCCTAGGGAAAGAGGCAGGTAGAAAAATGTAAGTGAGCCTTAAGAAAGAAATAGTTCCATTTGCAAAGCAATGGGAGCATCATTCATCAGATAAATTTTCTTTTTTCTTTTTTTTTAAAGATTTTATTTATTTATTTGAGAGAGAGAATGAGAGAGAGCACGAGAGGGGAGAGGGTCAGAGGGAGAAGCAGACCCCCCGCTGAGCAGGGAGCCCGATGTGGGACTCGATCCCGGGACTCCAGGATCATGACCTGAGCCGAAGGCAGTCGCTTAACCAACTGAGCCACCCGGGCACCCCATCAGATAAATTTTCTTAATGAACTCATGTAACGGGCCCTTTGGCCTGCGAGTCACAACATAACTATGTATTTGGCAGTACCATTAAGTAAACCTGAGTATTTATACCATCTTAGTCACACGTCATTGGGCGAACCTCATTATCCCCCCCTCTGCCCAGTCCTTGTACAGCTTAAAGAACTGCCATAAGAAAACTCAAAATACACGTAAGTCTCTGAAATTCTTTTGAGTTTGAGGTGTGTGAAAAATGAGGTGTGGAAAAATGCATAATTGAGCGACAGTTTTCTGGGGAGATGTGTTTAATATAAATGAAATTTGATTATTTAATATAATTAGTTAAGATTCATCCTCACAGGTATTAGCCCCCTATTTTTGAAGATCTTTTCTATTTTTGACTGGCATAACTTAAATAAAAATGTGGGAAATTGTGTATTTTATCTGCAACAACTTCCTTAAGGAGCCCTGAGCAAAAACCACAACAAAATTCTTTTAAATCCAGTTTCCCTCAATACAGGATTGGTGTAATTCAGTTTTAATAGAAGATTCACATTTCTACATCCATTTTAGGCTGAACTGTAGTGAATAGCAGTTTCTCTTGCGCACTTTCAATGGAATCTGTGCTATTTTTGAAAATTTGATATGTAAGACTGATCATTGTCAAAATGTATGTCATCTTGAGCTGGCTATATTTAGCATCAACAAAGGAATGCGTTATCTAGGCTTTTGAACAGTATTTTTCCCCTGAAATTACACTTGAAGTATTTAGGTTAGGGTTTCATTTGTGAACAGAATGAAAACTGTGTATGTATATTTAGAAGAGATTAATTGGGGATTTAGATTGCTTAGAACCCGAGTGACCTAAAATGACATACTTCGTTTAGGAAAACAAAAACAAAAACCTGTTATTTTTGAAACACCCTAAAGGCAAATAAAGGTACTGTTTAAATAACACATGCCTACAAGAAAGAAAACAATGCAGTAAATGTAGAAAAGGATGTAATAGACGGGCAGATGTCTAAAAGTTTTTATGGAAGAGACGAGTCAGTACATTTTACAGTATGTAGGCCATATACACACAAAAAATATCTTGGTAGTCTACTTTAGAGGGAAAATGACCTACAACATTCTTAATAATTTCACCTAGTTCTGTTCTTTAATTAGTTTGTGGTTTATATCACCTGTGTAGTTTCTTTCATGTTCTCTTCTGGTTTTGTAATTGCAAAATTACATATTCTTTACATACACTTGGAATTGTTACATTTTCTCTTTCTGTTTAAATTCAGTGCACAGTTTGGCTGGACTTAGGGTACTATACTTTCTACACTCTAGGATGAGTGGATTTTTACCCTGAAATCCAACTTACTTCTAGTAAAATTTGTTTTTTGTTCTAAAGTTAATATAACCATATTGTATTTATGGTTAAAAATGATCAAGAATGGAAAGGGGGACTTTCAAAACAGGACACATGTACCGTTAGTGTTTTGATATGTTTCCTCCTTTTCCCCGTGCACAGGATTCTTTTCTTGTGTTGCCGGATCTCTGGGAAGCCGTGTGTGCCAGCCCCGGGTACAGTATCTGCCATCCAGTAAGTGTTCAGTACCCCTTCTTTTTCTCCCCACACCTCCTTTTTTTTTTTTTTTTCCTTCTTGTCCTCTCCTCCCATTTACTGTGAGATTAGAAGGCAGATTGGGGCTCCCTGGTCCGCATTCTGAGGTTGGTGAAATTTGACTTCTGCCTTCTTTTCTGTGCCTCTTTCTTGTCCTTTCCTCCCCCTTGACTGTGCCTCCTTCTTTCAGCCAAACTAGGCCTCCCTTTGTCTCTCCATTTTCTCAGTGCTGCCTGTTCCTTTAGATCAGGGGCCACAGATTAGCAGCCAGAAAGCCACCTGCAGCCACGGCCATGCTTACAGATTGGTACATTTTATGATAAGGATTTCTAGCGTCTCCTGAAAAACTGGGTCATTTCTGCATAGCAGCAGTACCCTGGGACTGAGCACTTGCTTCCCCCTCAGGGCACACATACCCCTTTGGACACTGTCGCCATCGTTCCCTGTTACCTTACAACCAGTCGTCACTCGCTCATGTTACCGGTCAGTGACACTGCCTTACCTGAACTTCCATTTACTTTGCCTAACCCTAGACACTGGAGTACGCAGCAGTCCCCTGATGTCCGTATGAGGCAAGTCTGAAGCTGTGATAGGATAGAGAGTCTGGACCCGGCATCAGGGACCTGCACTTGAAATGTTGTAGATAGGGTTGGGAGGATGGGTTAGCCTGGTGGTGGGTATTGAGGAGGGCACGTTCTGCATGGAGCACTGGGTGTTATGCACAAACAATGAATCATGGAACACTTCATCCAGAACTAATGATGTAATGTATGGGGATTAACATAAGAATAAAAAAAAAAAAGAAATGTTGTAGATATATTTGAGTTAGCAATCCTTCTCTTAAATAATGTGACCATGGGAATGAGAAGAGGTTAACATTCATTGACACTAATTGCTTGTGTCAGTTGGAGCTGGAAGGGACCATGTATACTAACTAAAACATTTTAACTGGTGGGGTTTCAGAAAGCATAGGGTAAGTATTTCTGGGAAAGAAATCCTAGTCCTAGGAACTCTTAAAATACTCCTCATCTCTCTCCACCCTAGAAGTGTTTAGGAGAGTTGTTTTTTTTTTAACCCCTAGAGATTGGCCATAAAGAGGAGCTAACTACTCTTCCTTTTCTGCCTCCCCACCCTCCCTTTGTTTGGAGCCAGAGGCCTGGATCTGCCCATTCCCAGAGAGGGTGAGGAGGCCCAGTCTCCTCCAGAGAGTACCACATCCATGTGCTTGTGAAACCAACTTCTGGTTTTTCATGATACCTAGCTTAATGTAAACCCACTCGATTTTATTTTCTATTCATTCATTTATGTATCCTCATCATCAGCCCTCTTTTTGGAGCTGTTAATCATAAGTTTTACTTGGGCTGACTTTGGATCAGACCATTTACCTGTTACCTCTTTGTCATTCATCCACTCACTCAAATATGAATTGAGTTTGTACCGTGTCCTAGTTGTTGTGTGAGACACCAAGGATAAAGAACAGAGTAGAGCAGCGTTCTTTTAAGGGGCTTATAGTGTGGTGAATGCTCTTTGGAAACTATCACATACAGTCTTATGAGTGCAAAGTGTTATACATTGTTAATACAGAAGAATATCAAAGCAGGTTGAAAATAAGATTCTTGCTTATCAGTGAGGAATTGTTGGTAGGAGGAAAAAAATCTCATTTCAAATAGAAAAAATATTTTTGAATTGTGATAAGGTTTATGACTGGTTTTATATTTTTATTTATCTTTTAAAATTAAAAACATTCTTATTTATCTTTTAAAATTTTATTTACTTGACAGAGAGAGCACAAGCAGCAGGAGAGGGCAGAGGAAGAGGGAGAAGCAGGCTTCCCGCAGAGCAGGGAGCCCAATGCGGGGCTCCATCCCAGGACCCTGGGACCGTGACCTGAGGTGAAGGCAGATGCTTAACCGACTGAGCCACCAAGGCGCCCCTTATGATATTTTTAAAGTATAAGGTTATAATCTTCATTAACTAAATGTGATAAAGCTACATTGTATTTAAGTGTATATTTCTGCTAAAGTGAAAAATGATAAAAATTTAGGCTCACATTTTATAAAGCTCAAAACATTTGTTCCAAAGACTGTGAAGAAATAGGTTTTAACATTTACTTGTGGTATATAGTTAAGTGTTCTAAAATCTTAAAGGGGTGCCTGGGTGGCTCAGTCAGTTAAGCATCTGCCTTCACCTCAGGTCATGATCCCGAACTCCTGGGATCGAGTCCCACATTGGGCTCCCTTCTCAGTGGGGAACCTGCTTCTCCCTCTCCCCCTACTCCTGTTCATGCTCTCTTGTGCACTCTCTCTCTCTCAAATAAATAAAATCTTAAAAAATAAAATCATCTTAAAAGTTGAGACAAAGAATTTACTTGAGTTTAATGAAATGCAGATTTAAAGCAGTCCGTCTTGACAATTCTGTTCCTTGAGAAAGGAGATAACACATTAACACAATGAAACCGTTATTATAAATGATAGCTATGATTTAAAATTCTTTTCTTGATTCCTGCATTATTTGCTATCTCGGAATATTTTAATTGCATGTCTAAAAAGTCAAGGAAAATTAATTAATAGAAAATACAGAGGTCAAACATAGATCCAATGAAATTCTAGAACAGAAATATTAGCATGCGTATTTTTTGATCCATTGTACTTAATATTACATTCTATGAGACTTACATATTGTCTCACAGCTTGAGCTTCATACCTTAATATTCAACCTGGAAATTATAACAGCCCAAAATTATACTCTAGAACACATTTTATTAGGCTATTAAGTCATTTTCAAAAGCTTCTTGAAGCTTATCTCACTAATTGCTATGCCTGTTGATACCAGTATTAATATTACCATTGGGTATATTATATATATGTTTCATGTACTTAAATTAGGTAAAAATGGAGAATAGTAAGGTGAAATGAGTAGTTGAGTAACAGTCAAAAAACCTGGAGTCTAGTTCCTTGTTCTGTGGCTGAACAACTTACAACCTGGACAAGTCACTGAATCTCTTTGTGCCTATTTTTTTATATGGGGTTGGACTGAGTGATCTTTTTTCTTTAAGATTTATTTGAGAGTGAGCGCGTGAGTGGGCCCATGTGTGTGAGTGGGGGGAGGGGCAGAGGGAGAGAATCTTCAAGCAGACTCCCTGCTGAGCACCGAGCTGGACACCCAGCTCAATTAGCAATGATCGCGCCTCGGATAAACCTCATTGGCTATGATGCTGCCACTGCGCAAAGCTTGGACACCCAGCTCAATCCCAAGACCCATGAGATCACGACCTGAGCCAAAACCAAGAGTTGGACGCTTAACCGACTGAGCCACCCAGGCACCCCTGGACTAAGTAGATCAAGTCTAAACTTTCTTCATAGGACATTCAGGAATCTTCCCAGTCCGTGCCCAGCCTTTCTAGTTTCACCATAGATTTGCTGGATAACTAACCTACAGCTCCCCAAATTTGCAATGGGTCATCAGGCATTGGTGTTTTTGTTCACGTTGCTTCTTTTGTCTGAATGCGTGGAATCCTGTTTATTTTAAATCCTATTTATCTTTCAAGGTCTAAATCAAATGTCACCAACTTTGTGTAATTTAACCCCAACCCCCTCCTTCACCCCACCATTGTCTTTTCCACAACTTTTCCATGTTTCTGTAGCCCTGTATATATACTGCTATTATAGCACTTAATACTTTGTATTATAATTATTTGTGGTCCCATCTATTTCTCCCAACAAAGCTACTTGATTTCAAAAGCTTTTTCATACATTTCGTATCCCATTGCCAGAGTACGTTCTCCTTTTTACAAAAATACGGTATTACAAATACAGACCAAATATGTTAAATTTGAAAAAAAATGCAGCCTTTTTGATAGATCGTATAGTAATATGCTATAGGCTATAGTAATATTGCAATACACTCTCTGAAACCTATGATGGGTACTTAGTTGTCTTCATTTGACATGAAGGATTAATATGTTAGAACGGAATCATTAAATCCCTTCATCATCCAAGCCTTCCATGTTATGACCAAGCTCTTACTGATGAGCTACATGTTTTACCTTATCCTTTGGTGTTTTCTCTCTACGCATTCTTCATAACAATTCATCTGGCTTGCCTGCCATCTTAAACACTTGGAACCCTGCAGAGGGGCTGAATTGTTGTGTTGCTGCTGCCCCCTGAAGGTGGCCAAGGACATCGCATCTGTCTGTGCAGGCGGGAGAAAAGCCACTTCATGCTAGATTAGGAAAAGGCTCTGAGATTCCCCATATAAAATCCTTTGGCATTCAGGTTACTGACTATAGGAATTAAGTAATTAAAGTAACTTCATTTAGCATTCTAAAACCGTGAGGGCGTGCTCGGTCCAACTACTCCCATCGAGGAATGAGAACTGACATGATTTGATAGAACATTCTTTCCTGTAATTCAGCCAATCTCAGAATGTGGTTTCAAAATCCCCGGGAGTCCCCAAGACCCTTTTGGAGCCCATGAAGCCCTTCCTTTTCCAATTATATGTCTGTATGAGGCCATATCTTTAAATACTTCAGTCAGAATAACATATCACAATTTTGAATGCAGAAGCAGGTATGAGAATGTATCTGTCTCATTTTTTTTTTAAAGATTTTTTAATGTATTTGACAGAGACACAGTGAGAGAGGGAACACAAGCAGGGGGAGTGAGAGAGGGAGAAGCAGGCTTCCCGCTGAGCAGGGAGCCCGATGTGAGGCTCCATCCCAGGACCCTGGGACCATGACCTGAGCCGAACGCAGATGCTTAACGACTGAGCCACCCAGGCACCCCTGTATCTGTCTCTTATTAAGCTAGAATTAAAGAGATGTGCAAAAATATAAAACAATGCTACTCTTACTATTTTTATTTTATTTTTTTAAGATTTTTTTTTATTTATTTGACAGAGAGATAGCAAGAGCAGGAACACAAGCAGAGGGGGAGTGGGAGAGGGAGAAGCAGGCCTCCTGTGGAGCAGGAAGCCCGATG